TTGCCCCCCCCCATGGCTTCCCCCCCCCCCCGACGCAGGGTCGCCCCTTCCCCGCCTCAGCCCCTTCCCTGTCCTCGCTGCGGCCTGGAAATGTTCTGAGCTGTGGGATCGGTGTGCCCCGGGGTTGTGAAAGCGTCCGGCTCCATCAGCCAAACAGCAACCGCCAGCTGTGCAGTGCGGCCGTTGTTTCTTCCCCGGGGCAGGGGGGCGGGACGACAGGTGCTCTTGCCGTGCAGCTGAGCCGCTGTTTCGTCCCCCCGGGCTGCAGCGATCGAGGAGGAGGGGGCCGCGTCGGGGAAGCCTGTGCAATGGTTTAAATGAACGGATGTCGTCGCATCTTTCCTGCTATTCGGGGAGGAGGGGGTTGGTGCGAGGGGAGGGAGAAAGAGGTGACCGGAGAGAAATGTCATTCGGAGGGTAATCAACATATGGCTGCACAGATGGGAGCTGAGAGCAGGAACAGTGGCTGCGTGCTCAGCTTGCCCCGCCCGGCCCTCCCCTCCCCTCCCCTCCCCAGCCAGGCGCACGGTGCAGGACAAGACCCGGTCCCCTGCTCTCCGGAGAGCAAGCGGCACTGGTCAGATGCCGTTCCAGTCGCTGCATTTTGTGAAGTGCTGCCCGTGGGGGTGCTGAGGCAGCCTGCTGCCTGGTGGGGCACAGGATGAGGCCCCCCCGAGCTGTGGGTTCTGGCCCTCTACCCACGCGTGCACGAATGACATGGGTTCAGCCTCATCTTCCCCCCTTCAGAACTCCTCTGACATGCCGGAGACCATCACCAGCCGAGACGCCGCGCGCTTCCCCATCGTAGCCAGCTGTACCCTGCTAGGACTCTACCTCTTCTTTAAGGTAAGTGAGCTGCCGAGGTCCTGTGTGGACAGGGCAGGATGTACCAAGTGTGTATTGGGTCCCTCCTGCTTTTTGTTCCTTCCCTGTCTCCACCAGGTTGCCTCTGTGTCCAGATCTACTCAAGGCAGGCTGCAGCCTGCCCGGTAGGAATCTGAGATGCTCTCCAGTGCTGTTTATAGAGTTGTAGGCAATGAGGGACCTCAGGAGGTTGCATCTAGTCCAGCCCCCTGCTCCAAGCAGGACCAGCCGCAACTATGTGGTCCCAGACAGGGCTTTGTCTGCCCGGGTCTTAAAAACCTCCAGGGATGGAGACTCCCCCACCTCTCTGGGGAGCCTGGTCCAGTGCTGCAACACCCTCCTTGTGAGAGGTTTTCCTAATATCTAACCTCAACTTCCCTTGCTGCAACTTGAAACCATTGCTCCTTGTTCTGTTATCTGCCCCCACTGAAAACAGTCCAGCTCCGTTCTCTTTGCAGCCCCCTTGCAGGGAGTTGAAGGTTACCCCTTGGTCTTCTCTTCTCCAGACTAAATAAGCCCAGCTCCCTCAGCCTCTCCTCACAAGTCACATGCCCCAGCCGTTTTCATTGCTTTCCTCTGGGCTCTCCCATTTGTCTACATGATTGTAGCCCACTCTGTTGCAGGCTGCACTACCTGCATGTACAGTATGTCACTAGAGGGGTGGGAGACCCTGCAGGCCTTACTAGGCAGCAGAGCACATTGAGGACAGGCGTTCTCACCTATACCTGGGTTGTGGACAGCACTCTGCCCATGAGCCCACCCAGGGTACCTTACGGAACCAAGGAGTCAGGAAGTTGGAACGGATGGGGGAGCAAAGTGCAGCAGCATCTGCATCATGGGACTGCTCAGGCCTGGTGCAGGCTGAGACCTCTAACTCTCAGCCTTCTTCCTGCATCATGTTGCTTTTTGATCAGCCCAGGCCTGTGTCCACAAGGAATTGCTTTTAAAAGGAGGCCAGAGAGTCCCTGGAAGCTGTAGTTGGTGCTCAGACTGCAGAGGCTCTTCAGCTTTGCCTGCTGCACTGTGGAGCTGACTCTGGTCTGATGCCCTAACTGAAAGCAGAGGTTAACAGGGATATTTGCATTGTAAATCCTGCTGACTTCCTGCTGTTCCATGCTTTGCTTCACACACTGCTCCAGCTGCTGCTGGAGGCACTAGTGATTGCCAGCTATTCAGCCAGCTGCCAAGGTGGAAGAAGCAGTTGCGATTAACTGGCAAACAAGGCCCAATCTGTTTCCTGGGGGGGGACTGCTGAGAAGTGTGAAACCAGCCTGTTGGGTTCAGTGAATATGCCAGAGCCCTCCAAAGTCGTGGCAGCACATGCATCAGGCCCTGCTGGATCAGAAAGGTTGCTCTGCTTACTGAAGTTGGTCTGGAGTCGTTCCAGTTGTACTCACTGAACCACTGCAGGTGCCCTGGGGAGAGGCAATGAAACTGGTCTAAACTTCAGTTTGAACCAGTATTCATGGCCTTCAAGTCATCTGTGCACCCCTCCACCCTCTGAGACCCCAGACTAGCTAGCCCAGCATATTTTCCCAGGCACTCGTAGTGTCCTCCAGCTCCTTCCAGGCTCCTGCTTGTGGACGCTCAGAGGTGGAGTGGCCTTAGGAGCTTTGAACAGAACTGGTTGACACAAGTGATGTGAGCAGTGGGGAGGGTGGGGACAACTCCTAAAGAACCCTGCGCAACAAGTCCTCAATGCCTGGGCCTTGACCCCTTTCGTCCCCAGGGACCATAGCAGAGTATGAGCCAGGCACTACTGACTGTGGCTTAGTGCTAACTAAATATCCAGGGCTCCTTCCTGGCCAGTCAGGGAAGCAGCTGCCCTTTTCAGTGTCTTGCTTGTGAAGATGTCAGCAGTGCTGCTCGGGCACTTCTGTCATCCCTTGCCTGACTTCTGTCATCCCTTGCATTACACATGGCTGGTAAGTACCTGAGGCAGGTGAGCTCTAAGTACGTGAGATGCTTGGTGGGATGGGTTAGACTCTGCCTCGAGCAGGCCCCGCAGCCCTTCTCCTCCTGGATTCTTTGCTATTCCACCAAATTCACGTGGCTCCGGGAGCATCTGCTCTTTCATTTGTTTAGAGTAGCTGTCATGACCTGGCTCCACTAGGAGAGTTTGCATTTGAACGTCTATTTTTAGGAGACTCTAGGAAGAAAACAAAGGCAGCCTCGAGCAGCTGGGAGCACGTTGTGCTCGAGCTGAGGGGTTAGTGCCTGATAAATCGTGGTGGGGTATGCAGCCTGTAAGTTTGCCCTTGCATATAGCAAAGGGCAGGGGGGCTAATAATATCATGGGATAAAGCAGGGCATGGTATGGACCTGCTCTCTGAATCCACTTGTGCCTTCCGGCTCGAGTCTCGTGCTGGTTGCCACACAAAGGACGGTGACTGTGACCTGTGACTACTGTGCTAAGTGCCTCTCATTCTGCCTTCCAGATCTTCTCTCAAGAATACATCAACCTCCTGCTCTCCATGTATTTCTTCGTCCTGGGGATTCTTGCTCTGTCCCACACCATCAGGTAAGTCCAGGGGGTCTAGGGGAGCTGGGCTTGGTGCCAGCTTTTGTACCAGCCACCTCTCCCACTGGCTCTCTTGTCAGTGCACCTCAGCCCCTGCACAGAGCCAGGAGCAGAGCCCAGGTGCTTCAGGTCCATGCAGCACTGTATGAACTAGTCCATCTTGCCTGCAGAAGTTTGAATGGACTCCGACCACACTGTAGGGGTGCAGGGCATGTTCAGCCCTCTCCAGAGACCATCCTTAGTGGTGGCTGGCTTTGAGGCGGAAGTTGAGAGACTGGCCTGGATCCTCTTGCAAGAGCTTGGGACTCGGTGAACCCGGTTTGGGAAACCAGCTGGAAAAGCCCAAAGCCCAGTGAAAGCTGGAGGTGGAGCTTCCAGCGGCACTGTGGCCCAATAGGGTAGAGCAGGAGATGGGAATGCAGCTCTGGGCTGCTTTACTGCAGACGTAACCCCGAATTCAGGGCAACCCAGGGTTGACCCATACTTCCCAGGATCAGTTCAATCTCTCTGGAGTCATTCCAGCACCAAGTCCCTCTAGCCTGCCCCACACACTGGAGAGAAGTTGGCCTTGCCCCAGCTCCCGTTTTCCCCACCCAAGGTCTCTGGCTCTCCAAGCCTGAGTGCTCTCCTGGGAAAGGGCCAGCCCTGGGTGTTAAGAGATCAGACTGGGAGGAGAAGTACTGAGAGTGGATGTCTGTGATGTGTCCTGCAGCCATCCCAGAGGTGGGGGAAGCATGTCATACCCCCGGGCTCCTGTTGGATTGACCTGCTTTGTCTCTTTTTCCAGCCCCATGATGAACAAAGTCTTCCCGGCTAACTTCCCCAGCAAGCAGTACCAGCTGCTTTTCACCCAGGGCTCAGGGGAGGCCAAGGAAGGTACGTCAGCTTGCCAGCTTTTGTGGGGCTCTTGCACTCTTGGCTCATCTGTGTTTGCTGCACCCCCGAGTTGGTAGTTTGGGAGCTCTGCCTCTCGCACCCTTTGGCTGCGGTTCAGGCCTGTCTGGACACCAGGCACTTGTCCTTGAGATTTCGGCGCTCTGGCTTCCTGTCTGCTGCCTTCTGTTCAGCAGAAGATCCCAGCATCAGGATGCTGTAGAGCTGGAGCCAAGAATGGAGCCAGTTTCCTGGGCCACAGCTACCCCCTGAGAGCCCATGCGCTGGTGCAGGATGCCTCGGTGGGCGTGAAACCCATTGACATTCAGAAGTTCAGGGAGAAGCATGTGGCCTTTCAAGTAGTCCCCACTGGTAGCAAAATGAGTAATGGAAAAGGTAGAAGGCTTCTAATATCTAGTGTCCCGTGAGCTCATTGGAGCTGCGGACAGAGCCCCATGTCCCCCATAGCACATGCATGGAGGTGACACTGTCCAGATGAGGTGGCCTCACATTCTTATGTCATTGCAGAGATTGTGAATTATGAGTTTGATACCAAGGACCTTGTGTGCCTGGCTATGAGTAGCATCGTGGGGGTCTGGTACCTGCTGAGGAAGGTAGGCCACGGAGCAGGGCAGCGGGGGTGAGCCACGCTGGGGGAGGAACGAGGGAGCCTCAGTAGGGAAAGCTAGTCTCTGAGCCACTGGTGTAATGCAGCTCCCTGCTCTGTTCCCAGCACTGGATCGCCAACAACCTCTTTGGGCTTGCCTTCTCCCTCAACGGGGTGGAGCTGCTGCACTTGAACAACGTCAGCACTGGCTGCATCCTGCTTGGAGGGCTTTTTATCTATGACGTGTTCTGGGTAAGTGGGTGTAACTGTGGGAGGGGCAGGATGGGCGCACCGTGGCCCAGCCAGGCGCCCATCCCTTGCTAGCGCAGGCCCATGTCAAGTTACCCTGCTGCAAGCAGCCCAAGCTCTGCCGTTGAAACAAGCTGGTGCTCAGCCCTTGCTACAGCCCAGAGGAGGCTGGTTCAGAGCCTGGCTGCTTGTTCTCAGCCCAGAGCTCTTCTGGGCCACTTGACCCTGTTTGTTCTTGCACAGGGGTTGTCCCGTGGTTAAAATGGCCCCCTCCTTCCTCGGTATGTTGGGAGTTCTGATGTGTCCACTTTCAGCTTCTGTTCTGCGAGGGTAAATCAGCCAGACTTGTTCCCTCTCCGTTCCTGCCTCGCCATTCTCTGCGCCTGCTCCTGTTTGAGTTATTCTGGAACATGGGTGGCCAGAGTCGCGTGTGCCATTGCAAAGGAGCTCTCACCAGGTCCTTGCACAGCAGCACAGATATCCCTCTCAGCTGGGATTGCCTGCCCTGGGCTTTCCTGTGACTTCCTCAGCCCTGCCCTCCCAGCGGGTCTTGGTTTTCCTGTGGGCAGTGAGCACAGCCAGGCCTTCCCCATTCTGTTCCTCTCCACTTACATTCTCAGGGACTGGAACAAGACTGTCTGCAGTGACTCTGTGTCTCCTACCCTTGCAGTTCATCCCATCTCCTTTACTCCAGCTCATCCAGGATATTCAGATTCTCCTTCGTATGGATGATCCCTCTCTCCCAGCTCTCTCTGCAGGTCTCATTAATGCAGTGTTGCTTTTTACACCAGGATCATTAATGAAAGCATTAAATAAGATCAGCCCCAAAATTTGTTCCTGGGAAACACTCTGTGTGCCCTTCCATAGTCAGACAGGTCTCCTCTCAGCATAGCCCATTATCACCTCTACCTTAGCCAGCTCCTTACCCATCTTGCCATTCTCTACCTGGCCTGGCCTTCTGCTGATTGAGGATCCCCAATGGCACTGGATCAGGCACTGTGTTCAAGTCCAGATCAGATCTACTATGTGTTCCTTGCCAGTGCACATCTCTGTCAAGGAAGGCTCTCCAGCTGGGCTGGTACCAGCTACCCCCCACCCCCCCGTTGTGTTTTTTTCATTTCTACCCTTTTCTTTCCTTCTGTGCTTCTTCAAAAGCTTTTCAAACAGCTGAGGTCAGACAGTGGGCCCTTGGGCCCTGGATACTGCTTTTCTCTGTTCAAATAGAGGTGCGTTCTGCTGTTCTCCAGTCACTGCCTAATGCCCACCCAGTCTGGTATTTAATAAATCCAATAGCGCTGGCCTTGTGAGTTTGTGCTGGTTTTCCACTGCTTTGGGGTGGAGGCTTGAGCCACCTGAGCATGCACAGCCTCCAGAGCCGTGTTGACCTGGGATGTCAGGTGTTTCACTGCTGTGCAGTCCCTTTAAGCTCTTCCTGGTGCAACTCGTTTTCTAACCAGACAAACCTGCCCCTTTGCAGAGCTGATACCATCACTGCTGACTCAGTTTCCCTGCTTGAGCATATCTGGATTTCCTTGGCTGATGCTTATGCTCTGTTTGCGCACACAGTCCCCAGCACAGCTTCCTGAGGTTTTTGGTGCATGTGAAGGGCTTGTCTTTGTCTCAGAGGTGCAGCCTCTTTTGCTGATTTGGGCCTGTTGGCAAGCAGTCGCTAGGGATCTTGGAGATGTATTCGCGAGGTAGGATCTTGGGTGATTCACAGCAAGGAAGTGAAAAGCCAGTTGATGTGCATGTGGGGCTGGGACCCGTGTAGCCTCATGTGGAGCTTCACAGAGCAGCAGCAGTAGACTTTTCCTGTGTCCTCGGGGGTGCCTCGGGGCACAGTCTGCAGGAGGCTCCCTGGGGCCCTAGCTGGAGTTCTGTGACCTCGCAGCCCAGTGGTAGCTATCTCACACGTCCCACGTGCTCTCAGGTGCTTCTGAATGCCAGCTCTTGGGGCTCACCGGCCAGGAACTAACTGGCGTCAGATCTGGTTAGGCCAACAGCACGTGTGTACAACTAGACACCCTGAAATTCAAAGTCAAGGTTCACAGTGGCCAATGTATTCACAGTCCAGTGAACAGCAAGGAGCCGGTGCTTGAAATGGACAGTGTCCTGCGGAGCAAACTGCAGCTGCCTCTGACGATCATATCCCTTTCCGCTGAGTCTGGTCCTGGGTAAAGCTTTCAGCTGGACCAGCCGGCTGGCTCGGGGCCCAGCCGCTGCTCGGGTCTGGACCACTGCGCCTTCCTGGGGTTGCTGTGGTCCCAACTGACATGTCTTCAATCGGAGCAGAGCCCCATGTGTGTGACCCGGGTCTCATCTGAGTTAAGGGGGACTCGCCTGTTGCTCCAGGGCAGGCCGGGATGGAGCCGGCCCCAGCACCCCCCTGGAAACCTGCTTTGTTTGACTGCCGAGCCTCCGCCGGTTGGCCGCCAGGGGGCACCTGGCTGCTGTCTTGGCAAGGGGGACGCTCTCGGCCTGACTGCTACCTGCCGGCCCTTCTGTGATTCCCCCCAGCCCTGGGACTGGAGAGCAGGGCACAAAGCTCCTGGGGGCAGGACTGACAGCGCTACCACTGGTGTGGCCCAGATTGGCCCTGTGGGGGTTTGGCCAGGGCCAGGCCACATTTGGGTAAGAGGTTCTTCCCTTCTTGTTTGTACAGCTGCTCTCATCTTGCCCTGCTCTGCCCCTTCCTAGGTCTTCGGCACCAACGTGATGGTGACTGTTGCCAAATCGTTTGAGGCACCGATAAAATGTGAGTTGATTTCTGCTGTCCCTAGGTGGGGGGCGTACCTTGCTGTGGTTGATCTCCCTTGTTGCCCATGCCCCACACACTGCCTACCTCATGTGCATCATGTGGTGTCTTCATGTGTCAGTGCAGTGTTCTCCTTCCTGGGTTTCCTTTCCATGGGGTGCCAGGATGGGCCCTCCAGGCAGCCGAGGGGGTGTCCAGGTCCCTGCAGCAGTGGGAACTGCGGCAGAGCTGTAGTCCAGCCAGCTGGGTTGGTCATTTAGGCTGGGACTCATGCACTGCCTGTATCCCATGAGGAAGAGCAAAGGGAGTCTGTCCAGCCATTGCTGACATGTCTTATATGTGGCATGGGGTTGGGTGCAAGGTGACAGCTGTCTGGGGGCTTGGGTGTGAAGCAGATGGGGAAGTGATGCCTCAAGGTGGGTGTTGAACACCTTAGTAGCTCCTTGCTGCTTTGGGTTTGCACTGATCAGCTATGGAAGGGCAGTGCAGCATCTTGCATGGGAGAATCAGCTCTGAGGGTGCCTGGGTCTGCAGCTCGTTCCTACACAGACCCACCTGCCCCCTCTCTGGGTTGGTCCCTACCCAGGAACAAGCTTGGTTGCCCAGCCTCTTCCCTTTTGCTCACATGCCCTTCTCTTTCCTAGTGGTTTTCCCCCAGGACCTGCTGGAGAAGGGGCTGGAAGCCGACAACTTCGCCATGCTGGGGCTGGGAGATATTGTCATTCCAGGTGAGGAGGGGGCTCCAGTTACTCGGGACTGAACCTGCAGCCTCCAGGCTCCTGGGGCCGGGTGTGGGCAACAGCTGGAAAAGGATATGCGCCTGGTGTGAGGTCCAGAGTGGGGACCCCTGAGCTCTTGCCTGAGCTGTTCACCTGCCTCTGCATCACACGGGTCACTTGGGGGTGGCTCATCCCACGTCGGCTCAGTACCAAATCCAGCCGCGAGAGGGTGTTGTGCAGCCTGCGACTGCTCCAAACGTGCTGTCTAGGCGTGAGCTCTTGCTCGCTTTGCAGCTGCTGCCTCTGCCTTGCACTGACGGTGCCTTTCCCCCTGCAGGAATCTTCATTGCCTTGCTGCTGCGTTTCGACATCAGGTGAGCCACGCCTGCGCGGGCAGTGTCCCACGGTGCTCGGCCACCATAGACTGGTCTAAGAGGAGTGCCTGGGGTCTCGGGCAGCCAGGGCTGGCTAGCAGGCAGGCATTGCTGGGGTGGGGGCAGGCAGTTTCAGAAGAGAAGCACTTCTCGCACCTCATGCCCCAGGGCTCAGTGGCCACTGCAGCATTTTTCCCCGACTTACTGGGAATTCCCCCCACCTCCAGCAGAGAGTCACAGCCAACACTTGTCCTGCTTTAGAGCGGCTGATGGGAGTGTGTGGCCATGGGCTGCTGACCACACCTCACTGCAGGACCCCCCGCCACGCTCCCACCCCACGTCTTGCCCCTTACGCTCGCTGGGATCATCCCAACTGTGGCCGCTCCATCCGGCAGCTCCACGAGCAAAGCATGGAGTTTGTCCCCAGATGTGCCTGTCAGTCCTGCCCTGGCCATGCCTGGGGCTGGGGTATGTCACAGGTCTGAGGGCCAAGGCTGACCCCTCTGCTCCCTCACAGCTTGAAGAAGAACACGCACACATACTTCTACACCAGTTTCGTGGCTTACATCTTCGGCCTGGGCCTCACCATCTTCATCATGCACATCTTCAAGCATGCCCAGGTTAGCCCCCTCCCCTCCGCTTCCTGCCATCAATGTCTCGGGTGCCTCCAGCAGGCCAATATTACCACGGTGTCAGCGTTGGCCCGGGGAGCCTGCCCAGGCAAGGGGTATAGCAGGGTCAGTGAGGGCACAGCGCCCCTGTCCTGGGTGCTGAACCTTCCCCCTCTTTTGTGAGCTCAGGGTGGGGGACCTGGAGGCTTTTCAGGTTCTCACCTCGCTGAGGTATGAACTTGGGACTGGGACCATACAGGTTTCTGGAGTAGGACAGAAAAAGCCCGCAGGCTGCAAAGCTGAGTGCCATCCTGCGCTGGGCCTGGGCCTCGCTGGTACTTGGGTGCCAACCTCCAGCTGCCGTCTGCCCAGCTGGCTCTTCCAGAGCTCGTGCCCGTACGCCCTTCCAGCCGGTCTGTATCATAACTGCCTCTGCTCTCTGCAGCCGGCGCTGCTGTACCTGGTCCCCGCCTGTATCGGGTTCCCTCTCCTCGTGGCTTTGGCGAAGGGAGAAGTCACTGAAATGTTCAGGTAAGCACCTGGCTGGGCAGGAAGTACATGAAGGCTCCCGGGCCCGAGATCCAGGCCAGGGCAGGGTGTGAGCCCCGTATGAGCTCATTGGGGCGTAAGGGGCGGGGGAGCAAGCCTTGAATTTGTGGCTGTACATATTGGCCCTGTAGCTGCTGCCTTGGTGTGTGAATTAGCTCCTGTGTGACCTGAGGCGTCGCTGCAGCACCTGTGGCTCTGTGTGAGTCGGAGGGTGGGGCCGCAGGGAGAGGCATAGGTGTGACCCAGAGAGGCTGGGGAAGGCTTGAGAGGCAGTACAGCGCTGCGTGGGCACCTTCCCTGGGCAGGGAGACTAAGTCCCACTATCCAGCAGCTCCCAAGGGCAGAGGCAGCCTATCTCCCCTCAGCCCCAGTGCTTTCCTGCGTGGCGTGATACTGGCGTCCTCTGGCCTGACCCAGCCCCTCCTGCTGCCCTGGTCGCAGGGCTCCACTGCCAGCTGTGGCTTCTCTTTGTCTTGTGGGAGCTCCTTGCAGTGCTGGGGGAGCTTCTGGGGGCCAGCCACATGTGCAGAGGGCCCGGGAGACCTTCTCTAGTTGCTGAGCCTTCCCATCTGTCACACACCTTGGAGAGCTCCAGCCTGGCAGCAGGACCCTTGCTTTTCAGCCTCCAGCTCCCCCCAGGCACCCCGGCGGCCTGTCTGCGCCCCTTGGGCCAGCATAGAGCTGATGGATGGAGCCAGGCGGCAGTTGCCAGCCCCAGAGAAGCTGCAATTCCCCTGCTCGCCCTGCACAGACGTTTCTAGTGTCCCCGCCCTGCCAGCACCTGCCTGGCCTTGGGTGTTGGCTGGTGCAGGTGGCTGCAGGCTCGCGGTCCCCACCCTTGTGCTTCCTGTGCACCTGGCCTCCTGCCGCCCCTTCACACATGCCCGTGACTCACCCGCCCACTGCTGCATCACCTCCCTGCCTGGGAAGCGCGTGAGGACAGGCTGCGGGGGCACTAGCAAGGCCCTTGAAGGCTTGCAGCCAGGCAAGAGGGCTCTGTGCCAAAGCAGAGGCTACAGGGAACCCTGCAGAGATGGCACCCTGCTGCTGAGTCCCCTGTGGCTCTGCTGCTACCCAGGTCCCAGTGGGGCTGCAGTGAATGAGGCCTGAGGCCGTGGCAGCGGTGGGGAGGCTTAGCTTGGCCCTGCACAGGCAGGCGCTGGCTCTGGGGGAGTGCCAGCGCCTGGGGAGGTTCCCAGAACCCCGCGTCCCTTGAGACGGCTCCAGCATCTGGAACTCTGCATCGAGCTCATCTGCGAGAGGGCCGGAAACTGCTCCCACCCCTAGGAATTCTGTTGGGTGCAGCGATGCCTCCCCCTCCCTCTCCACCCCATGCCCGTGAGGCGCTCCAAAGCTTTCAGCCTGCCACCAAGCTGTGGCTGGATGTGGCTGGCTGCCCTGGCCCGCCCCCTCGCCCTCGGCTCTGGCCACACTCAGCTGGCAGCCTGCCCCCCACCCCCAGGCCTGGCACTTTGCAGGGTGCAAGGAACACGGGGACCTGCCATGCCCGGGGGCTCTTCATGCTCTGGTGACAGGGCTGAGCACGGCAGCGGGGGAGCTGTGGGGACCACGAGTGCCCCAGGCTCTGCGTGTGTGCGCGTGACGGCGTGGAGGGAGCAGCAGGGGCAGGAGCTCAGGGTGGCCGGGCTGTTGGACTGGGTTTGGGGCAGGCATAGAGTTAACTCCTTGTGCTCCACAGACCGGAGCCACTCAGAAGTCTCTGGCTTCCTTCGGCGTGTTGGGCATGCGGGCATGGGTTTTGGGACCCCTGACCCGCCGCTCGCGCTGTGGTACGTGCTGGTCTGTTGCCTCACCGTGGCTATCAGGCCCACCCCAGCCCAGGTGGGGCTCAGTGGCCCAGCCGGCTGTACCCCCTGCCATCTGCTTTCATATTCCTCCCCACCTTCCCCCTGGCCCACGAACTTGGACTGCTGCACTTGCCTCTGACAGTGGCGTGAGCTGCCTGGGCTTCCCAGGAAGACTGACTCCCATGCCCAAGCCCCAGGCCAGCAGAAAGGGGCAGCAGCCGGCACCCGCAGGCTCCCCAAGGTAACAGTTCTTGCTGCTGCGGGTCTCACTCCCTTCTCTCTATCTCTCTTTCTTTCTTTCTCTCTCTTTCCTCTGTCCTGCTCCTTCCCTCTCCCCTCCTGCCTCCTGTCTTTCCTGCAGCTACGAATCCTCTGCTGAAATCTTGCCACACACGCCGCGACTTACCCACTTCCCCACCGTGTCCGGTTCGCCGGCCAGCCTGGCCAATTCCATGCAGCAGAAACTCTCCTGCCCCCGCCGACGCCGGCAGCAAAGCCCCAGCGCCATGTAGCCTCCGCCCACCAGGCCCTTTCCTTACCTCTCTGGCCAGGTACGGTCGGTCCCCCAAGGGTCCTCCTGCCCTGCTCGCTCCTTCCACCTCCCTGCTGCAGCTTGTCTTCAGGGGGGAGCCATCTGCCTCCCTGCTCTCGCACTCTCTTCCCTGGCGCTGGGGCCCCTTTCACACTCGTGCCATCCTGGGCGCAGTCAAAACCCACCCGTTTGCCCAGTCTGGACCAGCTGATCCCAAGGGATCATCTGCTTGTAGGCCTGGAGGGGGTGTTGCCAGCTTATCACTGTCTAGGGTGGGCATGAGGGCAGCAGCTTTGTGCTCCTGTCAGAGGCTTTGCTGCTTCTATATCTCTTCCACCACCACCCTACTCTGTGAAGATCTGGGGTGTCAGGATGGTGTCTCTGTCGGACCCTTGCCCCTGCCCTTCCCTTGACCACGCGGCTGCAGTGAACTTGCCCTGGAGAGAGTCCAAAGTGCCTTGTTGCACACGCAGCCTGCCCAGGCCAGCCCTGGCTGAGCCAGAGCTGCTCGTCCCTCAGCTGCCAGCTGACCGGGGTGCCTGAAAATGCTGGTTCTGCGTACCCTGTGGGGTGGGGAAATGCACTATTTACCCATGACTTCTGCATGGCCTTGACGTGCCTAGGAGCTGCCTCTGATAGATACCCGCCGAGTTGCACATGCACACGCGCGCGTGTGTGTGTGCACATTTGTGCGCCGCGGGGCCTAGTGCTGGGAAGCTCAGTCCGTCTCCAGTTGAATGCTGAGGATGGGGCAGCCAGGTCCTCTTCTCATCCTGCCTGGGGCTCGATGCTGACAGTCCTCCCCTGCCCCGAGGCACAAGTCTGACAGGGTGGGTGCAGCGCTGGGGTCCCTGTGGCCCATGTCCTGATCTCATCCTGCTGCCCCTGACATGCCGGCAGAACGCACCCAGGAGCTTTACCCACCGTGTTGGGAGCCGAGCTGCTCAGCTGGCCCATCCTTCGGGCAGGCTTTGCCTTCGACGCCACCCTCCCTGCTACCGTGATGTGCACCCGTGCTGGCTGCGCTGCCTCCGCAGCAGAGAGGCTAAGCCTCCCCACAGGAGGAAGGGGCTTAACCTCCCCCCACATCTTCTCCCTCTCTCCTCTCCAGCTACGAGGAGAGCTCCACCCCCAAGGAGGTGCCTGCAGCCTCCAAGGACGGACTGACAGACGGGGAGAAGAAGGAGAAGTGACCTTGGAGGTCTGGGCTGGGCTCGGTGCTCTGGGCCAAGCCGGGCCGCCCGGCCCCAGCCTCATCACAAGCGATGATGACGAGAAGCCTCCCCTTTCCCCCCATCTATGTAGCCGCATCGTGTTTGTGTGCCCGGACCAGCTGCCCTTGCCCTCCCCAGCTGCAGGGCTGCCCTGCTCCATTTTATCGCCGTCCCCTTGGTGCGGGGGGGCCCCTGCGGGGCCCGTTTTTAAATTTTGTATCGTGGACTCGCTTTCTCTCATATTAAATCATCTCGAAGGAGGGGCAGCCCCCGCCTCTCATTCCCCAGGCTCACGGTGCGAGGATCGGGGGCTGTGCCTTCCTGTCCGGGGGTAGCGCTGCGCTGGGCCTGCCGTGCTCCATGCCCCGAGTCTTTCTCCTTGCGGGGCGCGCTCCAGCGTTGTTACCTGGGGAGCGAGGGGCCTGCGCGGGTCCTGAGGCTGCTGGAGGCTCACGGCTGTGGCACACTTACCCTGGCAGGGCCTAGGTAGTGGTGCCTTGCACACTTGCACAAGGAGGCTGATACACGGAGGTTGAAAGCATGGCAGAGAGTGCAGCTTGGGGGTCCCAAGCCCCAGTCCTTCCTCAGTGCCCCCAGAACTGTTTGCCCCGGGTCCTGTCCCCCTTCTCTGCCAGCAGAGAGGCGGCCATGGCACTGTCCCCACTGCCCCTCTCCTCTCCATGTGAGGGTTGGCCTGTGGGAGGCTCCCAGCAACTGGCAGAGCTGCCTGCGGTGACCCACAGAGATGCCTCGGCCTGGGTGGTGGAGAAGGAAAGAAGGTGCACGCAGAGGCCAGGTAGGTGGAGAGGGTTTGTTACCTGGGCCAGGCCGTGACCTGCTCCCCAAGGCACACGTCTCCCAACGTGCCAGTAGCCTCTCTGCCCCTGAGCTCCAGCCGGGAGCAGAGGGGGGGCAGAGACCCCTGGCTTTGTGCACTGCCCACCTGCTGCCCCACGCGGGTGTGACGCTGGCCCCGCAGTGACCCGCCCTGCCCCTGGACACAGCGACCTGGTGGCCTGCGTTGCTCTGCTGTTTCCAAGTGACCCTCTCCACGCACATCCCCACCTCCTCCTCCACACGCTCAAGATTTAATGCGCTGACTACTGACCCCTGGCCCCAGGGCACCGGGTCACTGGTGGGAACTGCCTTTGCAGGACCCCAGGGCCGGCTCTGTCCCGAGCATGGCGAGTGGCTAGGCCCCCCCGGCAGGCTCTTGTGTCCAGCTGACCCAGGCTGCAGGGGCTTTGCCCCATGCCCTGGAACAAAACTCCATGGTAAAGCCAGCATGGCTTGGAGGCCACTGTCTTGCCCCAGGACCCTCATAGCCTCCCCCGCCCAGGTGAGCACGCGTCTCCTCGCTGGGTCCCTGCAGTGTCGCGGGTGCAGCCCCCCACCCTCCCCGTTCCAGCAGGGACGTGCCCCAGGCCTGCAGGAGCTGGCACCAGAGCTCAGGCAGGGCACGGGCATCTTCCAGCCAGTCGCAGCTCGCCCAGGATGGCCGAGCCCATGCCCGGCGCCTCCAGCCCACAGCGCGTCTCCGGGCCCTGCCCGCGCTGCCCCGGCTGCTGCCAGAACAAACAGGCCATTTGCTGGCTTGGCAGCTCCTCCACAAAAGCCGTATTGAGCCGTTCCTCCCCGCGCCCCGAAAGTGGCGCCGCGTCTTCTGCCGCGTAATGACCCTTTGCCGCCTCCTCCAGCTGCTTTCGATGACTCCTGCTCCCTTCCAGCAGCCCTGGCCGCAAGAACGAGAGGGGCCACTCGGATTCCAATTAAATGCCTCCAGCTAAGCAAACACAGTGCAGCGGGGTGTGGGCACGGCCCAGCCGGCAGGCCCGGCCCACAGAGCCGCCGAGTCTAGACTCCAGATGTGCTTGCGCCAGCCTCCAGCGTCCCCTGCAAACACTGCGCTCACCCGGCCCCACACCAGCCCCGAGCGCGGGGGCAGCCGGACCCTGCAGCCCTGGCAGTTGCCTTGATGCCCCCCCTACGCCTGGATGGGGCAGGGGAGGGGGGTGCCTGGCTCCAGGGTGCAGCGACTCCTGTGCTCAGTGCAGCGACTGCCAGGCAGGGCTGCACCCTGCCCCATGCCAGCACCTCTGGCCGTACCCATCCCACTGTGGCATTGTTTCTCCTGGGGAGCGTGTAGCTCGGGGTGAGCATTCACCTTCGAGGAGCCTGGCTGTGGCAAGGCAGGGTGAAGGGATTGGGGCCGTCGCGGCCGGGCTCGTTCTACACGGACCTCAGCTCTGCCTGACAGCTGCCAGGCTCCGGCTTTGTTTTGCCCACGAGCTGAGCCTGCTGCCGGGCTCTGGAAAGCTGGAGCTGCTGTTGGGGGTCGGTGGGGGGCTCCTGCCTGTGCCCCCAGCTGTGCTGGCCGCACAGAGGCCTGTCCCAGCTGCCACAAGACTCTAGCCAGCTTGTGGCAGCTGTGATGCAGCAAGCCCGGGGCCCTTGTAGGAGCTCTGTCCTGGAACTGCAGGCAGGAAGAGTCGTGCAGGGGGAGCTGCGGGATCCGACGGTGCCAGGAACATCCCCCTGCCCTGCGCACACGGGGCAGGGCTCACGCAGCCCCGGCTGCCCCCCAGCACAGCCCTGCACCTGGGCTCGCGCGGCCTCTCTGGCTGAGCCCTGCGGCCCGGCCTGGCTCCGCTCTGTCTGGGCAGCTGCTGAGACCCCCTTCCGCCTCTCCGTGGGGTCCCTCCAGATGGGAAAGCTGTCGGCCGGCCGCGGAAACACGCCGCTCTGGCAGGAAGCCTCCGCGCAGCCGGCAGAAATCCTGGCAAGGACACGCAGCCTCCGCGCCCCACGCTTTCCTACCCTGTCCGGCCTGCGTGAAAGGCCCCGGCTGGAGATGGCAGCAGTGCAGCTGGGCATCTTCCCGATCCCCAGCCTTTGGGCATCCGAGCAGTGGGCAGCCCCAGGCTGCTGCCCTGGTGCTGTGGCCAAAGCGCCCACAGCAGCCTTTCGGGGTCTGACCCTCCCGATCCATTTGCAAGCCTGGGCCTGGGTCGAGGTGGCATGGCCTCACGGCTGTAATGGGCCGGGCTCTGTGGGTGAGGGCAGTCAGCCCCCCATCTCAGCTGCTGGCAGGCTGCTCAGCCCAGGATGCTCAAAGCACCAGCTGTAGCAGCTCATGCAAGCCCTAAAGCTCCCCAGGACTGACTGGGCGATGCTGGGGCTGGTTCTGAAGCAGGGGGCCCAGCCGTGCCGGGGGCCGGAGGTGGGTTGTCTCCGGTGAGCCGCGTGGTTCTGCGTGTCTGGCAGGGGCACCGGGCCCCTGACTCTGCTGCACAAGCCTGGAGCAGCACCCTGCTGCTTTGTGCCCTCTGCTGTCAGGCTGGGCAGGGTCCCCATCCTGCTAGGGGCTTGGGGCTGGGTGCCAGCGGCAGCGCCAGCCCCTGCCCTTGTTGCAGCTCCAGCTCGAGCACGGAAAGGAAGCAGGCGTGCGCGGCTGCAGCCTGGGCTGGCCACGAGGAGGGGCAGGAAGCTGGAATAAATCCCAGGAAGGGCCGCATGGCTCCGGCTGGTCTGGGCTGCAGCGGATGGAGCCGGGGGGTGGGGGGGGACACATATGCAGGGGGTTTCTTGGGCCCGGCTTGTGCTCCAGCTGCACTGCCCAGGGCTGGGGTCTCTTCAGGGTTTGCAGATCTGGGGCAGGACACATGCGTAGGGTACACATGGCCTGTACTGCTCGGTCAAGGTCACATGCATGCCTGTTGCGTGTCCTGCCGTGTCCCTGCATGTCACTGCACGTGCCATGTTTGCCATGCATGTTGCCGTACAGGCACCTTGCTTCTCCTCTCTCCACCCGTCCATCCTGGCATGCAGGCGCGCGTCGGGGCTCCGGGCGTGTGCAAGGCTGCACGGACCCATGTGCGTGTCCCGCGCGGGTCATTCCTGGGATGTCTGGCCTGTCGGTAACTCTACCCAGACGGATGCCGTGTGGCCTGGGGGCTCCTCCTGCCCCCGGCTCCATGACTCGCTGCTCTGGGGAGTAGCAGCTGTGGGGAGGCTCTGGCTGGATCCAGAGGCAACCCCCTCCATGGCAGTGGCTCTGCCAGGCCCAGCCGTCCCCTGCAAACCTGGGCTGCTCCCCGGCTACAGATGTGTGCCACGGGCAGGCATCGGGGACACGACTCACCCTCCCAGTGCAACCCAGGGTCCCGGTGCAGACCTAGCCTTGCAGGGCATCCACCGGACCCTGTCCCCTTCCATCCGGCTGGGGTCACCGCCCGCCTGTCCCCTCCGCTGGACAGAGCCAGGCTGGCCCTGGGAACAGCCCTGCCTTGTGTGGTCTCCTCGGGAGCCTTGTTGTGAAGAGCCCCCGTGAATAGGCTTTAGTGTGCAGGGCCTTTGATATCCGCGGCTGCTGGGCAACCTTTGCTCTGCTCCCAGACGCTGGGATCCGTCGGCGCAGCTCAGCCCCGCGCGGTGCGGGCGCCATATGGCTGGCGGGGGGGGGCTGGGGGGGTGGTACCGGGCGGTCCTCCGCTTTCCCAGAATTCACATGGTAATGAGGCGATGCGTCTTGTGCGCTGACACCGGCCAGGGCTGGCCAAGCTGCCACGTCCCGCGCCCGCCGGCGACAGCCTTGCGGCCACCTGTTTGCTTTTCCCACCGTGCCCAAAGGGGGAGAGGAACAGGCACGGAGCCAGCTCTGAGCTCCTTCCCTCCGGGGAGCCTGTCTCTGCAGCCCGGTCCTTCCCGCGCTGAGCAGAGGGAGCCGGGTCGGGCTGGGCTGGGGCTGGGGCAGGCCCTGGGGGCCGCCTGCACCCCCCCGAGCACCTGCCCTCGACGCACCCAGTGCCCTGTGCGACGGGATCCGCTCCCAACGCCTCCCTGTGGGCTCCTGGCGGGTGTAAGCGGAGCAGCCTGAGATGGCTCCCTGCTCCCAGCGCGTTTGCCAGGAGCCCGGCGCTGGCGGCTGGCTCCGTTACCAAACCGGGTCCAAGCTGGCACACAGGAGAGGCCTGCAGGGAGCTCTTAGCCTGGAGGCTGCCGGCGACCATGACCCTCCCCAGCCCAGGGGGATGCGGAGGCTTCCAGCGGGGGCGTCAAGAGGATCTCCTCCGAGCTGGACGGACCTCTGCGTGGCACCGCGGCCTGCGGCAGGGCAATGGCGGGGTGCAAGTCGGTGCACAGCACCTTCCAGCCTTTCCTGGGGAGCCCGTCGCTCTCTCTGCAGGACTGAGGGGAAACTGAGGCACGGGGCAGGGCGAGGCATCGGGGCTGCCCTGCAGCAGCTCGGGCACGGAGCAGGGAACCCGGGGCCAGGCCAGGCCACCCCGCGGGGAGGGGACTGCGGCTTGACCTCTCGGCCCCAGGTCCTGAGGTTTGACATGAGGCTAATGCAGGCCGAGCGCCCGGCTACGGATCTAAGCAGGGCTGGAGGGGAGGCTGTCCCTCCACATTGTCCTCCGGGGCCCAGCTGCGCCCCCGCCCCCCGCCCCGGCCGGCTGGGGCAGTGAAAGCATTCCTGCACATTGTCCCCTCCTCAATAGCTCCTCACATGCCACCAGCCGCGGCTGCCGGGCTGCTGGCAGATGGGGGCTAATTAACTGCTTTGATAGCCTCTGTGGGAACGGGGCACCCCCCCTCCCCACCCGCTCCTCCGGGCCTGAATGGAGGGGCCGCCCCGTGCCCACCCTGGGAATCCTTGTCCGCGGCCAGGGGGGCGACGGGAACAGAGCCCAGGCGGCAGATGGGGTGGGGGCTGGCGGGGCAGGGGTGCTGGGGGCTGCTGCCGGCTTCAGCGCAGCCCGTGATGCTCAGGGGCTTTGCTGCAGAGACAGGAGCTGGCCGGACGGGAGGGCGGGAGCCCCTTGGCTTCTGCTCCCTCCAGTGCTAGCAGCCTTGGCCCCCCAGCGAGGCCCGTCAGCTGCAGGCAAAAGGGGACACGCTCAGCGCCCCGGGCCAGGCCACCCGCGTTCCCACAGCCTCTGCGGCAGGGAGGGCACACACCTGAGCCCGTCCCCGCGCACCTGCTCCCAGCCAAGCGATGCTTATCGGGCCGTGGGCAGAGGAGCGGGGCTGGGGCTGCCAGCTGTCGGGGGCACTCTCAGCAGGGCAGCTGGGGACCGGAGCTGGCGCACCTCTGCATGGAGGTTGCAGCCAGCCGGGGGGGGGGTCTAGTGCTCCCAGCAATTAGCCTGGAAGTGCCGGCTTGTCCCCTCCCAAGCTGCTCCGCTCCGCCGCGCCAGTTTAAAGCGGCTCATTTTCTGCGTGGCTAAGCAGAGCGGCCGGGGGGGCGAGGATGGAGCCTGGGCAGGCCCCAGCGCCCGTGTGCAGCAGGGCTGGGCACGGGCATACAGGAAGCAGGAGGCTCTTGGTGGAGGGAGCCCCATGCGGGAAGCGAGGCCTGTGTCGGGGTGGAGGCATGGAGAAGTGGGCAGCGAGGCGTGAGGCACGGCTGGGTGTGCAAAGGAGACCCGGGAGCTGGGGGTGGGAAAAGCACTGTCTCGGCACCAGGCTGGGAGCCTGGGCAAAGACACACGAGCAGCGTGAGAACGGGCAGCACCGCCCTGGCGCAAGGCCTCGCTTCGTCTCGCTGACAGCCAGCGCCGCCTGCGCCGGAGCTGGAGGCTTCCACGGCCCCATTCAGCAGCTCCACAGCTGGCGCCAGGCAGTCACCCGATCACCTGCCGCTCCGCCCACCCCGCCGTGCTGTGGCAAGGGCAGGCATCATGGCGTGGGCCAGCCGGCAGCAGCACGGGCATGCCTGTGTGCACGGCACACTCAGGGCTGTGCACCGGGCTCGTGAGAGCCACTGCATGTGTGCACACGCACTGGCACATGCAAGGGCATGGCACGCTGGGCGAGGGGCCTGTGTGTCCGTGTGTGCGCGCGCTGGTGCATGCGTGCATGTGCACACTAGGGATTCTTCACCCAAGCAGCAGGGAGGCAGTTGCACCCACCTGCCCTCGTATATATACGGCCCCAGGGCTGGATGGTGAGAGGCAGCTCTGCCAGGGCCTGCAGCAAGGAGCCCAAATTGCTGCCGCTGGACCATGGAAGGCTGGTGGGAGCAGAGGCCACCCCGAGTGCCACAGCAACCGCTCCAGCCATGACCACGGGGGTTAGGGGAGGGACGGCTCCGGGCCTGGGCAGCTGCAGCCTGATCTCCTGGGGGGGGGGGG